AATGCTATTTGGAACAACAAAACATCAATATACTTGATAAAGACTAGAAAACTAAACTTAAGCAAAAATCAAACTATGGAAAAAACCATATCTTAAATAAGAATAGTACAAAAAATTTGCAGATTAGATCGTAACCCTATTTATGGGATGATAATAATCAAATTTTTGGAAGGCCGATCTAATTTGATCAAAATAGATAATCGAAGATACGAATCATATATCGTATTCCTAATGCCATTTGGAAGGACAAACCAATTAGCATAAAAATATCTATCCTAACTAATCGGGTAACCAACAACATAGTCTAAAGATTAGTAGTGTAGAACGAAAATAGTTTTCAACAAAGAAGCAACAATGAAATTCATGGCAACAAATAAGAGTACCAAATTCCTCCCCTCCCCCTCCACTATTTCAAAATTTTCGATTAGAATGTGTAAGGGTGAGTTAATAGATAGTATAGTTTAAATAGTAATAAAAGTTTGATTAGCCAATTGATGTTATATAATCAATATATAGTATAGTTCAAATTATGTAGGTTGGTAGGCTTATTATGTTGACAAAAAATATTCATTGTTAGGATCAAACTAATTAATTTTGTGGCCTTGATCGTATGAATCTTTTTTAATAAGTGATTGGGTTATCTGATATAGGTTTGTAACTAATTGTTAGGATCAAAATAACTAAGTTTTTATTAATTGGTAAATTCAAAATAATCAATTTCTTTAATTGGTGATTGGATTACTTAATATATGTTTTGGCAGAAAACGGGCTTTTTGGTGACGAAGCGTGTACTTTTTTTCAACAAAATGGTTTTTCTTTACTATGTACTATAGATGTTGATAACAAGATAGTTACTCTAAATGGGATTGATGAAAAAAATATTCTATACATGTACTGTATCCTATTCTTTTTTTTTAGGTGAACCAGAGCGGTACCTGGCGTGCATCTCAATTTTATTAATATAAAGAGAAAATTTACAAAAGACAGTGCTTAAGACTTACCCAATTCAAAAAGAGACCGTCTTACAGAAAGTTTTTCTGAAAACCTCATGACGGTTCTTTAACAAAAGTACGTCTATGAACTGGCTTACAAAGATAGTTCTAAAACTATCCCCTGTCAGTTCTTAGTTTTGAAAGTAAAATCTATGCTAAGAGAATGTATTACAAAGATTTAACACATAAATCCAATGACATCTCTTCCTTTTCCTCTAATTACCTAATCTATGCCAATAAACATTTTATCTAATTCTTAAATAAGGAAAGAGATTGCGATCTAAATAAATTTTACCTCTTAATGATGCCAGTAAAGACTCATGAGAATTATATTGCAATGATATCCCCATTGAGGAATTTTTGGTAAGCTCGTCTGCCACACTATTCACCTCTCGGAAGATATGAACAATTTTAGAATTTGTAGCCCTCAAAGTTTGTTGGATAATTCTTAACTGTTGATAATGCTTCCAGGGGAAGTCTTTGTCTCGCTGCAACAAGGAGACAATGCTTGCATTATCCATTTGGACCATGACCTAGCGTATTCCTCTTTCTTCACAAGCTCTGAGTCCATAATAAATTCCAGCAATTTCCGCTTCCAAGCTTGTAGCAATACCCATTTAGCTGCATTGTGCAAATAAAAAAAGTACCTTGCTCCCCTCTGATGACGTATCCCCATCCTACTTCTCCCGGTTGTCCTAGAGCTGACCCATCTGTATTTAGCACTACTTTCCCAAGGTCTGGAGGTTTCCTGCATAGAGTTGTTATCTTTTTAGTTTTTGGCCGGAGCACCTTTACTCTAAAGAGATCCTCCCACTCCTTTTGTTCCTCAATAGTCTCCGACTTTAAACCATGAACACTCAACATATTCGAGATATTAGTCATGATCTCCTTTATGAAAAAATTAAAAGAAAAATGCGTACCATCATAAATAATTTTATTCCGTGCCTTCCAAGTTTCCCATAGAAGGAATAATGGAAGAACCATCATTATTGAATTTTTTGCTGAGGTAAAACTACCCATCCTTTGCTAGGTTTGCAAACTATTCCACCAACCTACATTATTAGGAATCATAATTCCAAAAAGTGAGGCAAAATATTTCCAAACCGGTTCTATTTTTTGACAAGCATAAAAAATATGATCAATACTTTCTTCATCTGCCTGACAAAATAGACATCTTGAAGGACACAATATCAAACCAATTTTTTGCAAGATTTTAGGAAAAGGAAGTAAACGGTTAAAAAGTTTCCATGCAAAAAAATGAGATTTTTTAAGGAATAAGCTTATTCGAAAAGTTTTTTTAAGGGAAGAAATTGCTTCTCTGTGATGCTGAGCCTCCTTGTAAGCAGAAGCTATGGAAAAATTTCCTGTTGAAGTTGGCTGCCACGCCACACGATCTGGCTAATCCACAAAGTTAAGCTCCAAATTCCGCAGCTGCTCCAACTTGTGATCATCCAAAAGACCTGAAAAAACAAGCAAGAAAAAATCTTTGGAAATGTAAAAATCTTTTATTGTTAGATCTAATGTTGGAGGGATGCCTGAATCATTCCAAAGTTTGCCTGAATTCATCCATTGATCATGCCAAACAGAGAACGAATCGTCGCAAACAACTAATTTGCTCTTCCGCGCAGCCAAACGATCCACTTTTGTAACTCTTAGCCAGCTTATTTTTTCCTTTGATGTAGGCGATAGAGAACTAATGAACTTGGCCCAAATCCCTTGTTTAGTTTTGATCTTCCACCAGAGTTTCATGGAGAATACTTGAGTGACATCTTCAAAGTTGCGGATTCCCAGCCCATTTTCTGAAATCGGATAGGTTAGGTGATGCCAAGTGAACCAATGTCGTTTACTTCCTTCTTCATTTTCACCCCAAAGGAAGTTTTGACATTTTCTTTCAATGCACTGAAGGACTGATTTTGGAGGTACAATTGCAGCTATAATACGGAGTGGAATCGCGGATAAAACATGCTTAATCAGCATCAACCTTCCACCTTGCGGAAAAAAATGGTTTTTCCAGTTCAACAATTTAGCATCAATTGCATCTAACCAAATGATTAAAGAACTCAACCTTTTTCCTTCCTTTGAATAGCTTGCATCTCAAATACATGAAAGGAAATTCATCTTTCTTCATTTGTAGTGTATTCTCAATCAGTGAATTCGCTCCACCCCACTCTTGTCCGAGAAAAGATACGTACTCTTCTGCTTATTCATTTTTTGGCCAGTGGCATCTTCATAATCTTGGAAGAAAACCATTAGCTGTTGCATAGAACTCTTCAGGCCTTTCGTATAAGGCAAAATACAAATGGGATGGTACAACCGGTCTGGCCAGCATACCATATAAGGCTACTCTTCCACTTTCAGTCAGCACTTTCATATTCCGAGTTAGAGCTTCCGATATCAAGATGAAAAGATAAGGCGAGAGTGGATCCCCTTGCTTTAGACCAGGAGAAGCTTGAAAATAACCAACTGGACTGCCATTAATAAGTATTGAGAACGAGCTCCGTGATAGGTTTAGCATAACCAAATTTACAAAGTTTTGATGAAAGCTAAACTTCAATAAAATCTGTTGAAGAAAACTCCATGAAACTCGATCAAAAGCTTTCATCATATCCAATTTCAAAATTAGGTTTCCTCCTCGTACCTTTTGATCAATGAACTGAATTAGATCTTGAGTCACAAGAATGTTATCCATAATGTCGCGACCTTCCAAGAAAGCTGATTGTTCCTCCGAGATCAATCTAGGAAGTACTTTTTTCATCCTTTCAGTGAGCAACTTTGTAAACACTTTGTTGATGAAGTTACACAAGCTAATTGGCCGGAAGTCCGCAAACGATGTAGTTGTCACCTTCTTCGGGATCAATGTTATAACTATGCTACTTATGGCTCTAGGAATTGGGGTACCCTTCATGAATTCCTCACAAGCTGCTCTAAGATCATGATAAATTATATGCCAGCAATGCCTATATAATTCACCCCCAAAACCGTCGATTCCAGGAGCACTTGTTGGTTCAAGACTAAATACCGCATCCTTTATCTCCTCAAGTGATAGTTGCTGCAGCAAAGAAGCATTATCTTCTCCATTTAAAATTGATGGAATACTTGCTAAAATCCTCAGACTTGCTTCCTCGTGATTTTCAGTCATTTCCTCGATCAGCGAATTCTTGAAGAAGAAAACCGCCTCATCCTCAATTGCTTTCATGTCAGAGAGCCGAGATCCATCGTGGCCTCTGATTTTATGGATACCTAACCAAGTTTTCTTTTCAAGCAACAAAGCATGGAAATACTTGGTATTCGCATCTCCTTCCCGTAACCATTTTAACTTCGATCGTTGCTTTAGAAAGTCATCTTGCTCTCGCAACTTAAGCATCAAGTGTGCTTGTAAACGATGCATTTCAATTCTGGCCTCCTCAGTTCCATTTTGGTCGAACTCCAATTTTTTCAATCTTACTAATTCTTCTGCATTTTTCAAGTTTTGAAACACATCACCAAATTCGGTCTATTCCACTCCTTCAATCGGACTTTTAAATGGCGAAGTTTCAAAGAAAACCTTAATATTCCCGATTCCACAAGCGGTTGATCCCAATTTTCCTTGACAACTTCCAGAAAATTCGCCCTTCTCATCCACATTCTTTGAAAACAAAAAATGCTCGGCCTAGTTTCACTTACCATTCTAAATTGATGTAACAAAGGTGCGTGATCCGACACTGATTTGTTTAGATGATGAACCGAAGAGATGGGAAAATAATCCAACCATTCCTGATTAAACAAGATTCGGTCCAACCTCTCTAATACACGGCCATTTTGTCGATTCCCTCTCCAAGTAAACAAATTGCCCAAAGAATTTAATTCCAGTAGCCTACATCCAGTAATCCATGAATTGAAATCATCCATTGATCCTTGTTCTGGCTGTGAGCGCCCTTGATATTCATCCAAGCTGTGAATCACATTGTAGTCTCCTCCAATCATCCACGGCCGTCCATTAACATGATCAGAATAAGTTTGCAATTTGGATTATAGCAACTGACGCTCATGTCGTGTGGATTTCGGATACACCGCCGACACCAAAACCTTCTTTGCCGTTTTATGACTTTCCCCTTCCAAATGCACAACCTTATCTGAACCTCTCAGTAACCGTGAGGACCATTCTTGAGAACAAGGAACCCAAATCTTCCTCGAATTAGACGAATACGCATCTTTAAAACGAACTTTATTTTTCAGTTCCTCCACTTCAGAAGGTGGCAGCATAGGTTCTAGAATTAAAACAAAAGAGATAGAATGCATAGCAATTAAATTTTTTAGACGGGGAAGAGACGCCTTATTGTCGATACCATGAATATTCCATATGATTTGATTACTCATTGGAAACTTTGGAAGGAGAATCACCGTTGAGTCTTGACGAATTTCGAGTTTTATTACCCTTGATTTTCTTGTCTTTAGTTGATCCCTTTGGGTGACCTGGTTTTTTCCTCTTACTTTCATCATCAGAGACCACCAATCTTATAGGCTGTAGATCATAGTTTTCCGATTGACTTCCAATTACATTATCATCATGCGCATATTCAGTAAGTTCCATTATTTCCTTTGCTCGACCTGATAATGAAGCAATTTGAACCTCTTCTGTTTCAGATGAAGTATCCTCAGCATCCTCAATCACCTCTTTTTGGGCCAATATTCATTGTCATCAGACTGATGATTATCCATCTCTTCCAATACATCGAACCGAGAAGATAATTAATTGTCGGAATAAAAACAGCAAGCTGTTTACAGTCTGATTCCTTTGGGTTTGAAATTTTTTCTGCTTCATCCACTTCCCAGCTACATTCCTCGGAGTCGTTATTTTGAATTATCGCACTTAACTGCTGCTTGGAGATCTTCCGTTCTGCTGAAGAGATGGGAGGAACCGGCATAGTCTTATCTTCCACATCAATTGGAGTTTGCTCCTTTTCTTTTTCAGTTAGACCTGATGTAGATGTTTTATTCCGAAGGTCTTCTTGCATTGCTGGCCCTTCCAACCTTTTTTCCTTCGACTTCCATACATTGTTATTAACATTCGTTGCTGGGGCTGGTTTATTCTGCTTAGTCAGAATTGTCTTTGGCTTTTCACCCATTGGAACCTTAGGTTTACCATGCCGGCAATCTTTCATCGAATGCCCCACTTTCCGGCATTCAAGGCAATAGTTTGGAAGGTTCTCATATGTTACTTTTTGAAAGTAAGAATGCTCCTCCGTTCCAAGAAGAATTCGCTTTGGAAGATCGTGAAGCAGATCAACTTCCACACATACTCTCGCAATAGAAGGCCGTGATAAGTTTAGGGTTGGAACATCAATTTTGAGCGGAGCGCCGATGATACCTGGCAATATTCTGAGATATTCTTCATTAAATCGATGGATTGGTAGTCCTTTGAAATCAACCCAAACAGGTACTATAGATGATTCATGCTCCGGATTGAATTGTGGCGTCCACTTAAGAACCCGCATGATGTGGTGATCAAAAGACCACATCCCCTTGATCCAGCAGCGGTGGAAATCCTCTTCCAAATCAAAATGGATGTGAATATGACGGTGATCTATCGTGCCAAGAGAGTAGTTCCCTTTGAATCCAATTGTACAAAAATTGTGCCATAAGAAGTCCATCTTCGGTCTCCCCTTTGAGAATTTTCCGGTGAGTGAGAATTGGAAAGGAGTAGCGAGCTTGTCATCCTCTTCCTTAGACAAAAGGAACGCTGGTTCCCCTTTGAAGATAGTTGGCTTTGAGGTGACGAAGGGGGCTTCCATTGACGCTTTCTCTGTTTGGTGGATCAACGACCGTGGATTAGGTTTAGTGCCATTTAGTATTTGTGCAAAGAAGGGTGGGTTTGGCCGGCTTTCATCCGGTGGGCGGGAGGCCGCCGCCATGGAAAAAATGTTCGGACAAAATTATGGTTATTTTAGAGAGAAGCGGGAGAGAAGATTTTAGAGAGAGAATAGTAAGATGCCTTACTTATTTAGCATTGGACATCGTTCTTTTCTTACTATATCCTATTGTTTAGTACATCAAACCAATCATAATAAAGTTAAATAATTAATTTTTTTTGCGCCCCATGAATTTTAATTTACTCTCCTAAAATTATGGACTCCCCCATAACTATATGTTTTTATATATGCTAACCTGCTGCAGCGGAACTATATGTTTTCATATATATATGCTAACTTGGTGCAACGTATACACTGAATAATTTCTCGTAATTCACAAAGTAATTTCATGATGTTAATTCGATTTTTGAGAATTTATATGATAAAACTTATTGTTCAGTTGAGATAAAATTAATGACTATTTCACAATTTTACTAAACATTAGAAAATATCCTAGGTGCCATTCGGGATTGAATAACAGTCAAGTAGTTAGGATCCTGCGTTTCTCGGTAGTGGACCCGGTTTCAATTCTCACTAAGGGTGCGTTGCACTGGAAAGGGAATGGATGTATCATAATTTTATTGTGTTTCCCATTATTACTATATTGAGTAAAATATATAATGTAAGGGAATATGATGCCTGATGTTATAAAATAATGGGAGTGAAATAATGTGATACTTTTAATGATTCTTACAAGTATATTCAAATTAATTAAATAAGAATTTAAAATAATTATTTTACCCAATAAAAAAAAATCTATTTGATTTCTATTTCTTTATGTAGATTATTTTTTGGGATGGAGGATAATGAAAAATATAAGTTCTGTTAAGCTAGTAGAGTTACACAAGAATTCTTTGTACAGAGATAATATTTATTAGATCTTATCACCAGTTAAATATTATCTCTATTTGCTATTATCTTTGTATCTATTATGCCTATAAAAGGAGATTAGTCTCTGCAGAAATTATACACAGATCAATTCTCTCTTTCTCTCTCAACTTGTTCTCCCTCTATTGTTTTTTCTCTACAGTTCTTCATATTTATTTATAACGCGTTATCAGCACAACTCTCTATCTAACTAAGAAAATTTTAATCCGTAGATCAGGGAGTGCGGTAAGTTAATTTCGATCCATAGATCAGGGAGTGCGGTAAGTTTTTTCTTGTTTTGTAATATTGGATATAACCAAGCGCTTCTGTATTAGCCATTTCTATTATAAATTTTTCATGTATTGAATTTGCTCCATTAATAGCAATTTCATAAAAATATTCAACGAGATTTTCTTTACTTCCTGAAGCAAGTGGATTTCAATATGCTAAAATATCATTGTCATATAAACTAACCACTTGAAGTGGTAAATATGAACGAAGATAGACGATATAGAAGTTATATCGATATGACAAAAAGCCATGAAGGAATTGCTCTTAAAGTAGTAGTTTATTATGTTTTTATTAAACGCATCATTATGGTTTTATTTAAAGAAATCACATTACTCTTTGATTTTGAAAGTTTTCACTTCCTGAAGCAAGTGGACAACTACGTCGTTTTATGAGTCAAATTGTGATATTGAATCTACTACAATATGGTAGTCATATATAAAAATAATATTTTTCACATGAAGTGGATGATTAATAACAAGAACAATTAGAAAGTTGCTTTTGAAGTAGTTATATAATTCTTGTTAGTATTGAATATACTATTGAGTCTTGTTGCAAATAATGTTATACCCGTCCAAGTTGGATGACTGCATTTGCGATTATCATGACATTTAATAGTTGACACATTGAAGTCTCAAATTTTATTTGGAATTGGTAATGATATGAAAAATATTTCTAATCACCAGAAGTGAGAAATTTTAATGAATAAAAAAAAATCCACCTAAAGTTTGAAAGTTGAAGAGAGCAAAGAAGGTAAAAGATATAAAGTGATATTGTTATAGCATAAAAGATCATCGCATATCAACTTTGTGCTGAAAACATATTGTTACTCTCTGTCAAAAACCAAAAAACTTTTTATGTTAATAAAAATGTCAACGGTATTATTATGGATGTTAGTTATATGTTCTCTCAGAAGCTGAACAAATTAAGAATCAGAATTATTTGTGGATGATCACCTTGAAGGCGATATTAGTTATCTGTTCATAATGAAAACATCTAGTGGTAGTTTATGTTATATTTTAGATTAGTAATTATAATTTACGAGTTCAGGCAATGTCATCATTCTTTTATTAGATCAAAATTGATCTAATGCTCCTGTAGCGCATCTATATGAATTTCTTTACAATATTAGATAAAATCTCCAGAAGAGAAGAATTTGCTATGGCAAAATACAATAATGTGAGTTCTCCCAAACTACTGGCAATATGTAAGTACATTTCTCCATAATAAAATTGGATGAAATCTCCTGTAGAGCATCAGTTATATAATGGGTTTTTTTCCAAAAAAAAAAATTAATTAAAATAAACGTGGACAAATTTGAATTTTTCAGAATATTAGTGGACAGAAATATATCCCTCGAATTTCTGAAACCCGAGTTCTAATTAAAATTAAAGATTCGGATTTCGTAAATCCGAGCCTATATTTAATAATAAAATAATAATTAAATAAATTTTGTTGAATAATAGTTTTTAAGAATTCTTAAATAAGCAGTGCCGTTCGGATTTTTGAAATCCGAATTTAATTAAAAAATAATAAATTGAGGCGCGAAATATTTGAACTCAAATAAGGAGTCCAGGACCTGGAGTCCTTAAATAAACAGTAGTCCCTGGATTTACAAAATCCGAGTGTACAAAAAGAAAAAAGAAAAAAAGAAAATCGAGGCGCAAAATTTTTGAATCCAAAAACCGGAAGTCCGTAATCCGGTTTTCCGTATTCGGAGTTTGGAAATCCGACTGCCTTTAATTTTGGTTGGTGGAAGTAGGCATGTGCCCAAATTGGAGGACCAAAAAATGAATTAAAAAATCCGAAATTGACCAAACTCGGATACAGGAAATCCGAGGCCACGGTAGTTCGGATTTCTAAAATCCGAGTTACTTACAGACTCGGATTTCGTAAACCTGAGTTTAACGTGCTATAAAAGAAAAAAAAAAATTCAGACAGTTCTCATTCAAGAACTAAGTTTGATTTTCTATTTTTGCAGCTCAAACAAGGGCGAATTGGAGCTTTTGATGCATTCTTGCCTCTAGATACGTGGGAATCGTTATTTGAAAGAGGTTAGATTGCAAACCATGTTATTTAGTTTAGTTTTGTGTTATTTTGATTGTTAGAATGATGTATGATAGATTAGGGTTTATGTTGGTTGGTTGTTTGGATGTTTTAGGTGTTGATTTTGAGGTTAGAGATGAGAAATCATAGTTATTCATGAGATATGGAAGTTGATTTATAAGTATTTTAGTATTTTATAGGTTTTTTAAATTATGAATGGAGTATGTATGGTGTATTTGTTGATTTTGTTATTAAGAAATGATTAGTTATTGATGTTCTTTTTTTTTAACAGTTATCAATGGCACGTAACGTATCATACATGCTTAATTTGTATCATACAAGCAAGTATGTGATAGAGAATGGTAGCATCAACACTTTTTCGAATATGCCGGATGATGGTTTGTTTATTGAGGAAAGGTTGTCATATGAGGGATTGATTAGTAAGATTTGTATGACACTTGGTTGGGATCCAGCACACGTGAAACTCCACCTTTCTTTGATTTTCGATAGTCCCAGTGCTAGGCGTAGTGAAGATCAAGAATGATTCGCATGTACAGTTCATGAACCGTGTAAATCCAATGTCATGTTTGGATTTATACATAGATTTGAAGATATCACTCAAGAAGAAAGAGAAGCGAGTTTGGAAAACGTGTCATTTGGTGGTTTTCCAAGGGGGGAACGTACTAGTACTTCTCAAAACTGTGATGAAGATGAGACACCTTTATTTGCACAAGATGACTACCGGGAAGAGTCGGATTCTGACTACATAGCTCCAAGTGAAAGCGAAGAAGACTGTTATGTCTCCGGAGAGAGTGATTTTGAAGAAAGTGATGATGAAAGGTTGGAAAATGAGGAAAGGGATTGTAATCCATTGCCCCGACGCCATGTATATAGTAAGATGGGGAAATGAGATGCCTCATGTGTGGACAAGGATGAGTTTGCTCTTAAGATGTGGGATGAGATGCCCGAAGGAATGGATATTGGTGTTTGTTTCAAATCTCAATCAGAAGCAAAGCATGCTGTTAAATTATGGAACATCCATCATAAAAGGGAATATACGGTCGCTGCGAGTAGTCCAACGACGTGGGCTGTGCGGTGCAAAACATTAAATGTGAAAAGTGAGGATGGTGAACCATCATGTGAGTGGAATATGCGTGTGTCTTTGAAAGCTCACAGCCTTCATGAAATTGTGAGATGACATGATGCACAACAATGCGTTGAAAGGGATCCGGTTTTTACCAATTAGAGCCTTGATCGATGCAACCTTTCGCAAAACTATGAAATCCTACAGAGAAGAACAATTGTCTGCGAGAAATTGCATGACACCGATCCCTCCTGAGTTATGGAAAAAATACGAGAAAATGAACGACAAAGCAGCCAATTTTGAAGCCACTCCTTTTGATGGTGATGATGCTATGTGGCGGGTTGTTACTGCAACACGGCTAAGTGGCAGGGGTGGGTCTTTGCATACGGTGAACTACGATGAACATAGGTGTTCGTGCAGGAAGTGGCAAGAGTACCAGATGCCTTGTACGCACGCACTCCAAGTTTGCCGGAGAAAAGGGGATCGGCCTATTGATCTATACCATAGTGTGTGGCGTCTTCCAACGTGGCGCAGACAATTTGATTACACGGGCTTTGTTCTGGTTCCCGATGAGGAACAATTGTCATGGGCTTACTTT